AGGTAATTCAAATGCACTAGTACTTACAATATTACCACCTGATGATGAATTACCTTTGTTTTTATCTGTGCCACAATAACAAAAGTGAATATAACAGTATGAAAGATGCACTGAATAGTAATGTTTTCTACAGGGTGGTGTCAAGTGCGGTACCAAGTGTAACCCTCTTCTCAGAATATTATGCATACAAAATAATTACATTTTGAGATGAAGCCAAACAACTGTATGAAAATGTGCTGGACAGAAAGTTCATCTGAGCCACCAAGTGATCTACAAACTGAGTTCCCCTTTATTAAAGTTGTTGCAGTCAGAACATTATTCTTGAAAAAAAAAAACAAACAAACAGACTTTTGTGGCATGTAATTCCTTTCCGCCTTTCTCCCCCTACTTCCTGTCACTCTCTATGATATTGCCCAATAAAGGAAAAATGTCAGAACTGTATATAAAAAAGCTCACTACCGAAGCGACAGTGTGGGATCCGGTTATCTGCTCCCAGGGTGCCCCAGGAGCCACTAAACTGCGGAAGCACTTAGCTTTCCTCTGATCTCTATCATAGTACCAAAACTGCTGTTCTGAATCATGCTCACACACAGCAGGGATCTCTCACCAACCTTCACACACACAGTATGCTCTACTGTAGCTTTACTTAGGAGTTTATTGTCATGTTACTAGTTAGGTTTTATCCGTCACTGTAAAATAGGAAAAAAGTGGTATGTGACAAATTAAGTACGCAGCGCCAGGCTTGCTTCAAGGGCATTTACAGCAATAGCCATGACAGGAGCCATTGTACCTTTCCTGCCTGAGTACTAATCAGCCACTGCAGACTTTCTTATTATAAATTGTTGTAAAGCTGAACTAAATAGGCATAGCTCTCAAATGACTGGATACCAGGTCATTTCTTGCAGCTAAACTGAGAACAAACATCTACTGTAGTTCTTCAGTGTATCCATACCCAGTCAGCAGAAAATGCAATCCTCCTACACCTAAATGTACATATCACATATTAACCTCAGCTAATCTGTACCATCAGATCAGTGCACCAATCTTAATTCAAACCCGTAGGCCTGAAATAGCAGCCTGTAAATATCTCTTTCTACAAGATGTCTCTGTCCATGACGTGTCATGTGAGGACATATGATTTGCATTAGATAATATTTGAGACTGAAGGATATGTGGTGCAAATGTGACAATAGCACAATGGTCAGATGAAGCTTGAGTACTGCAATAACTCTCAAATATGGAAGTACACCCTTGCCAAAATGTTTGTGAGCGTGCAGGCTGTAATGGAGCGCAAATGCCCCAGGCCCATGGTGACAAAGGGGCCCACCTACTATTGTAGCAAAATAAAAAGTCAGACTCAGACCATGTCTGTGTCTTCTGCAGAGCAGAGACAAGTCCTGGACGACTGCCAAAGGGCTCTCGCCTTATGCAGCAAACAGCACTGCTCGGGGACACTGCAGCATATCTGGTATGGTTGTTGATTTCACGCTCTCAGTACCACCTTAATAGGGTCCCCACACTCAGTTTGACTGCCTGTGTCATATCAGTGCATCTGCTGTATTTCTGTTTCCCTCCTTTTTTGAGGGAACAATGAACATGTAAAAAAAAAAAAAGTCCAGTAGAGAGAGAGAGAGATGTCAGATGTCAATCTGGAGAGATCTGTGTGTGTGTGTGTGCAGGTGTGTGCACGCATTATTTCATAGAACGGGACTATAGCCCTTGAAGTGTGTTGTCTCTCTGACTTGCGTAGTATGTGTAAGCTAGCTATTCTGTCGATACTGGCAAAAAAATACAAGTCAGGTGCTCTGAAGCATAAGGAGCAAGAACAGAAGTAGAATCTTGTGGCCTTGTGTTCTGCTCACAAACTTCTTCACAGCACAACAGTTTGGCAAGTGTTCCACTGATAGCCCCACCACTGACCAAGTAAGCTATGATAGCAAGGAGCAAGCAGGTAGCTCTATGCATGTAGCTGTGGTCAGTATGTTTTATGTTTCCCCTCGGATCTGTCTCACAACTCCATACAGCATATAGGCTGTATAAGAGCCCAATACAAGTCATTGCCCCACCTGCAATGAGCCCTCAGTTCTTTATAAGCTCAGAATCAGATTTAAGAGCTTAATCCTGGCTATATGGGAATTCATTTGTAAGTAAGTCTGCGCTCCCAGATTTCTGCACTGGATTTTGCATGAAATTCTGTCTGCGCCAGAAGATTTGAACATGTACAAAACAAGTTTCAAGCATTATTCAAGTTGCAAATCAAAATTTGAGAGCATGCAGGTGGAAATTAGAAAGAGAGAGTAACAGATCATTTGAGTGAGAAGCGGGGATCGTCCCTTGCTCTCAAAAGTGAGTTTGCTCTTACGTACTTATCTGTGCTTGTGCGCGCTCAAATTCTGGTTTGCAAAGTGAATAGGTTTTACTGGTTTTGTGCACTTTTGAAACTTCTGGCACAGACAAACATTCACACAAAATCCAGTGGAGAAATCAGAGAGCACAGACTCATACATCAGTGCATGCTTGGCCGGGATTCCACGTTCACATCTGAACAAATCTGTGCCTGTGCATTCTCAGATGCTGAGTTCCAAACTGAGTAGCTCTCAAAATGTGGCTAATGCGCCCACAAACATTTTGGCTATGATGTACTTCAATACTCAACACAGATCTACAGTATGTGTGTGTGTGTGTGTGTGGACGTGTTTTTCCTGCTACGTGGGGACTTCTTCCTGCTTCCATACCAACTCATGAGGACCCATTTCACGGTGGGGACCTAAATTGAGGTCCCCATGGGCAAGAAATTGAATTTTAGGGTGGCAACATGGTTTAGGGTTAGGATGAGGTTAGGGTCAGGGTCAGGGTTAGGCAAGTAGTGGTTCTGGTTAAGGTTAGGGTTAGTCTACAGAAAATGCATGTAATGTAAGTCAATGTAAAGTCCCCATGGACTACAAAACATAAACTCTCTGTGTGTGTGTGCTATAATGTTTTTGCATTCATACACTCCTACCTCCAGGTCGTCCAGGGAGCGGGCCAGGCTGAGACGTTTGGAACGTCCAAAGGAGCGTCTGGCTGAGGAGCGTTGGGGGAGAGGAGGGAAGCCCATGGTCAGACCATGGAACCGACCACCCTGAGGCAAGAGAAGATAAGATACTGTATGTTCAGGCCACAATGTATATATGGTAGAGTTTATACAGGTGGAGGTAGCAGTAGCCTAAAATCAATTCTGTTAATCAAAGCACTTTCCTCCCAGTGGTCAATACTGGAAGACGCATCGTGTGGGGAAGCCTGAGGTTGTACAAGTGCATGAGTCTGAATAAAACAGCAAACAATGCTAATTTGACTTTCCAATGGAAAAAAAAAATCAAGGGCTGACAGACTTAGGGCACATCTATTGATAACAGTTTATAACAAGACAATTCAACACCCATGTGCCTCTACACAATCGACTGCACCTCAGGGGACCCCTCTGAGTGGTCGGTAGAACAGTTGTCTCCCAACCGGAGACTTGTTTGTTACTTCCAAGCTGAATCTTCTTTCCAATCTTGGTGCCTGCAATTTACATGTCCTACTGTCCTTGGGCAACACACTGAACCCCCCAAGTTGCCCCCGATGGTTAGAGCCATCGGTGTGAGTTGGCGCTACAGATGGCTGACTCGGTTCTGTACCGAAAACAAATTCCTTGTGTGTAACATACTTGGCCAAATAAAGATGATGATTATTATAAAGTTTACAGATGGCACAGCGGTCATCAGTCTCATCCGAGACAGTGATGGGTTGGCCTACAGACGGGAGGTTGAACAACTGGCCCGGTGGTGTGATCACAACAACCTGGAGCTGAACAAGCTCAAAACAGTGGAAATGACAGTGGACTTTAGGAAGTGTCTCCAAATGTTTAAGGTCACTTGAAGTGTCTCCTTTGTACTTCTTGTTCACCAGCCAGCACTGAAGTTTAAGTTCCAAACAGGTTTTGATAAATCGTAGGTAAATCAACAGCATGCCACTGTTTCTTATACCATATGACTGCACTGTGTATTTGTATGTCTGATGTTATACAAAATGAAAGGTCTCAATTAAATAAAGACAGTCCTACATGAAAGTCTATATTAGGACGGGCTGCCATGTACAGTCCTGTCGTATTTGCCTATACAACCCCACAACCACAGCCATAGCAGAGAGACACAATGACACACAAAGGCTCCACTATGTTGTGCTCTTGCATAGGACTGCATTAACATTCAGGTGGTATCATTACTGTGTACTGAATGTACTTCAATTTAATACTAATATTATATAGCAAGAATATTCCAGATACAGTGAAAACCTGTTAACTGGACTGAAGTTAAAACAGGCCAGCTGCTACAACATGTCATAAACTGTTGCCTAGAATGAGCATAAGAGTAAATTAAGCATTGCATCATCAGGATTTATAGTCCAGAGCCATCTGACAATGATGTAACTACACTGAGTAGTGCTGTAAACCAACAAGGAGAGAAAGCTTAGTCTTGAATTGCCCTCATAAAGAGACAGTTAGCCTTTTAATAACAATTGTTCTGTGGTGTCTAGAGAACAACAGAAATATCCCGCTTTTATCTCCCTTCTCATTAATGGTATTTTGCTAACTTCCATATACTGTAGCAGAGAGAGGATCTCAAAGGACCAACTCACTAATGAGGAATTAATTAATGCTGACAGGTTCCAAAGGCCAGGCGGTGGTACATGTTGAATCTGATTGGCTGATTAGAAGCAGGTCTTGTCAGCATTTCATTAGGAGATGACCAGTGGTGTTGCCTGGATAATGAGTCAACCCTGCATCTGTGTGTGTATCAAATAACACAGATTTGAACACTCGATTAAATATGTGGACACAAACACTGACACATGAACTCTTTTTAGCCAGGTCAGTTTGAAACAAGTCTTATTCATGATGACAATGATGCTTAAAACAAACAAGAGAAGCTGCGATTTAGATTAAAGAGGAAATGATGAAGTACTGATCTGACTCAGTGGTGCTGGGGCTGTTTTGGGTGTGGCTGCACCAGAGCTTTTTCAGAGAAACATCTGAAAGACTACATTTTAGTGGAAAACTCACAGCTCTTATCTCTGCAACTGAGCTTGTCCCCCTGTCACTCATACGCATGTAAACACTAGCAATGTTGCAGAAAAGAGGTATGCTTCCTGTTTACAACAACACAGCTGTTGACATAAATACCAAACACACACAGACAAAACACTTGTTCTTATAAAAACAATAAACAACAGAACAGAGGCCGGATGAACACTAGTCACCTAGTATAGTGTACACAGTCTGCATATCTTTCTGATCATACAATAAGAATTCTAATGATCACCGTGTCATATTTATCAAGATTCAACTCCTTTTCTTGTTTCTGTTCTTACTTGTTTGTTCTTCCAAGCTGAATCTTCTTTCTAATATCTGCCATCAGAGCAGACCACCATCCACTTCATGTGGAGTGATAAACTCCATGTACCAAACAATTTCTAAAACTTTTGCACAGCATGACTTAGCTTCCCTTGGACAGTCACGGGAGTGCAGGAGGCTTGCAGAGGTTTACATTAGTTAAACAGTGCCCCCATGTGGTAGACAAACAGACAATTAAGGATAATGTCTTGATACACTGAATACTACGGTTTACAAGTCAACAATAACATCTGTACATTTCTAAAGCAGTAAGAACACAGAAAGAAGGATCAAAGCAACAAAGCCAAATATGTCACAATAGAATCAGCATTTTACCTTGACCACAAGTGCTCATGACTTACCATGGCAGCCACAGCCTCCTATGCTCTGTCTCTCCATTCGGAGGACATTGTTCACAGAGCTCCACCTTCCTCTCACTGTCAGCCTCTACCCTGCCACTGGCCTTGAAAACACTTCCTCTGATTGTCCCCTGGGGTCCTGGGAGCCTGACCACTAAGACACTCACTAGGGGAAACACCAGCCTCCTTCAGTATCAAGGAAGAAAGAGTCTATCCTCTACACGTTTCTAATATAGAAATGTAGATAGAGACAACTGTTTCCTACATACTTGCGCAGACTCTCTGTGAACATTTCAAGAGACAGGACGTATGGTGGTTAATACAGATGAAATCCAGTCAGAATGGACATACATATCTTTCACTCTTTGTATTGGTTCCCTTTTACTGGAAACAATCAACAGCCAGTCAATAATGGGCGGTATCTCAATGCAAAAGCAAATGTATTCTCAAACAATAATGCAGCTAATGTATCTAACTGTAGCTTCATCTTAACTGGAATACTTGGTTTTTTAATTATTGTTTAGGACATTACTAATACAGCCAGGTTGTATGAATGTCTAAGATATACAAGGAAAATTGCACCAAACAAATTACAGTAGACTCTACAATTACTTCATTAAACTGACTCTGCTGGTACACTGGGTCTCATTACGGTGGGAAACAGGTGGTTTTCAGGTGAAGGCAGGTACTTTGCTTGTGCATAATACATGATGTGATACTGAAGCAGAACTTATCATTCAACCTGTACTAAGTCTGGGGGGAAAGCCAACTGGGAATCTTGCATTATTCAGTACAGAAGAGGACGTTCACAGGAGTGAATACGGCTCACAAAAACTTTCAAAACCACTGAAAATCTTCTGAGTGAGAAAGAAATTTTGTTCAAGGACTGAATGAAGACTAAATACTAGGCCTGGAGAAGGAGAGCAATGGGATGAACATGGGTGGATACAGCTTTAAGAAGCTGTAGCCTTGGACATAGACTAGTCAAAGGAAAATTCTACAGCAGACGTGTGTGATGCTGTCTGGGCTTCTCATCTCATGGTCAGTTTTAACACAGCTCTTCCAAAAGCCACACAACCCACAAACTGGCACATTATAACACATCAATGAATGCACTATTCACATTAGGTAAAAAAAAAAGAAGTCAAGACAAATCAGTAAAATAACTGATCAGCATACAAACTGAGCCTTAAATTAAGGGTGTTACTAATAAAAATACTTTGATAACTTCATCAGAAACATACCCTTTTCTCTCCCTCCTTGGCACGTCCTCGTTTCTTGTCTCGTTGACTTCTCTCTGCCCCAGCTCTCTCCCTTTCCCCGGTACCAAACAGCTTCTTGGCCCACTCGTCTTTCTGAACAGCCAGCCGGTGGGTGTGGGAATGGGGATGTGATGGAGGAGGAGGCTGACTCCCTCCAGGTGGTGGCAGGTGGTCTCCGGGGGCCAGTGGGGCCCGGTAGCGGTCAGCCGGTATCTTATTCATGGGTGGGGGAAGGGTGCTACAGTTGGCTGATGACCATCCGTCCGTGGATTCAGTGTAGGACTCCTGATCGCTGCTCAGGCCGTGGAGGTGGCTGTGGTGGTGCTGCTGACGCCAGTCTCTCAGCACATGGACTGGAAGCCACCTCTGCGACTCCACCCCTACTCCTACTCCTACTCCTCCAGCCCCTCTCTTTTCTCCTCCCCCCACAGCCCCTCCTCGCTTCCCTGGTGAGTAGTGATGAGGGTGGACCCCTCGTGAGTGCCTGCCTGGCACATCGGGGTGAACTGAGGGGAGAGCGTGAGGGAGGTCAGCCAGGTGTGGATCATGACGGTAGTGGCCATTTCTCAGAGCTGAAGGAGGTGGGTGAGAGGCTGCAGCTCCTAGGGTGGGGCTCCAGGCCTGCTGAGAAGAAGGCGGGCTGTCCCAGTGACGTGGTCCAGAGGTGTGGTTGTGACTGGGAGGAGCTCCGAGGTCTACTAGAAGCACTCTGTTGCTCTTCTCTTCTGGTAAAAAGTTGCAGATCCCGCTATCACTGTTGCTGCTGGTGCTGTGGTTCTGCTGGGCATCGTTGTCTTGGTCATGGAAGGCTCGGGCCCGGACCCCCTCAATGTTGTCCCCCATGTCCCGGTAGAGGATGGAGACAAACTGGAGAAGAGGCTGAGAACTGGGTGGGAATTCCAGGCAGCCTCCTGTGTCTGGGTCAGGGGTGCACTCAAAGCCAAACCTCCTGGCTACAGCGAAATGGACCTGAGGAAACAACAGTCACCAGAGGTGAGTCATTCAGTGAGCTGTCATATATATCACTTTTTTTCCATAACATAAACACACAAGAATGTATCTGAATTGTGAAAGAATAATTAAAATAAAAAATCTATTTGTTATTACATCTCTAGCTGATCATCAAAATAAATTTTATTTAGTTTTTTTTTAGGTATTCTGTAAATCAGTCAGACAAGGACGATAAAAGTGGGTATCAAACCTCCATACTTTTTTGATTACCAAAAGAAATTCTGTATATTTTACAAACTGTATGTAACATACTGTGTTGTGATGCTTAATCAGATTCTTATTTCCTTATTCTTTGATCAGACAGTTTCTTATTAACATCATAATTTTGGTCTTTTCAGACTGTATTTACTCATGTAAATGTCTTTAACAGCAGTTCGGAAATTGGTGCATTTGAAAAAAGTGGTTAAGTTTCTTAAACACAAAAACGTATATTTGTAACCTGCTATAAAAGGTATTGGAGGAAAGCAGCATTGCTTTGGTATATTCTAATGAAAGTACAGCATTGCATTGGCACCCCTACTGAATAAATGTAATTCCTAGCCTGTTTTTAAATATTAAGACCCTGATAAAGACCCTGCAAGGACAAAACCAGCTAGTATGTGGACAGGGTTAATGTGTGCATTTGTATAAACAAACTAATTCAAAGTTGTGATAAATGGAACAGAGTAATCTCATTCGAAGTTTGATTTGTTGGCCCTTGTTGTATTCTGTCACTGTCTCTCTCTTGATACCTGGTGGTGGCAGAGGTCTGGGTCCACAAGGAACACATGACAGGAAGTCCTCAGGCCACCATCTTCATCTCGTCCGTTGCTGAAGTAACGATCGTTATGGTCGTCCGTGGCCTGCATCGTGACCAGTCCGAAGAATCGCCGGTCATCAGGACAACAAGCGCTAAAGGCTAGTTTTTCTGCAGGATAAGTGGCCAGGACCTGACCTCTGTCGTTGCAGAGACGCACACTGTCATGCATGACCTGGTAGGACATAATTAATGCACATTACAACTAGGCACCAAGGTAAATGATGAGGCAATCACAGTTACTGGACAACATTAATAATAACATAATGACAGACTGGTTTTCATACTGATACACTGTTTAAAGTGCTGAAATAGAGACATCTTCCTTGTTTTCAAGCAGCTTTAAGTAATAATGCTGACAGACCTGTTACCAAAAACTATGATCTTCTTTTTATAAACATAATAAGTTAGTAATGGGTAACTTCAACAAATTCAGTTGCACCTTCATAAGGACCAGTGAGTGAATCTTTTGCTCGGCTCTGAGGCGCCTTATGCTGCCTCTGATGGCTTGTAGGCTGTCACTCTCTAAGCTCGTCCCTGTGGAGGCCAGCTCAATAGAACCCAGATACCCAACAATCATGCCCACATTGAGCACACCCTCGCCAGGCTCTAAGCCCAAGTCGCCCCCATCTCCTACATCCACGTCTTGCTCTTCATGGTGGTGAAGGTGGAGATGGCGGAAGTCTGAGTCCAAGAAGACTGAATCATCATTTAGAACTTGGGCCATCTCCTCTTCAGAAAGTAAGTTGGGATTGCTCTGGGAACGGGAGGAGTAGCGGTATGGAGGGAACTCTGGGTCAGACAGTGGACGCGGTTTTGATGACGACTTAACCCTAGGCCTGTCCTTGTCTGAGCTGCTAGAGGAGTGGCTGGAGTTCTCAAAGATCATGTTAAATATTCCTCCAGACTGCAGCTCCGCCACCACCTTCTCTGCCCTGTTGATGCCCAGCTGCTTAGAATCCAGTTTGGGTTTGTACCAACCACCACGAGCACCACTGCCTGACTTGCTGTTATTGTTGTTGTTAACACTATTGTCATAAAAACCATCCAACTCATCATCGCTAGAACATGAATCCAGGTAAGATGCTGCCATTGTGTTGCTGCTATGGTGATGACTGCCAGTGGTCCGTTGGTGGTGCCGCCTGTGACGCTCTCCCTCAGCGATGACTAATTTCAAAACACCAGAACAGCGTCCAACCAGTTTGACCACATCTTCATGCGACGCCTTGGAGACGTTGATGTCATTGACGGAGAGGATGTAGTCGCCTGAACGCAACCCTACATAATCTGCAGGGCTCCCTTTAAGGATACAGCTGAGCACACAAGGGCTTTGGCCTGTCAGTGTAAAGCCATACCCTGTTCTCCCTCTTGCCACCTCCACAGCGCGGATACGACCTTGCTGGATGGAGGAGGAGAGTGGGGGAGGCTGGGGCAAGTTAAGGCCACTTCCAACACGTTTCTTGGATGACGCATCTGAACACTGCCTGAACATTGTGCCTGGGAACTTTCTCTTGTCCATTGATTCAGAATGTTTCAATTAGTCTCTATACATCACAAGACTCTGCTGAAGCAGGAACACAAGGCATATCCAATGTCGATCTTCTTGTCAAACAGCTGCTATGAAAGAAACAAGCGGCAGCTCTGAATGTAGCAGAGAGGTGAGAGTTTGGCCTCAGTTCTGGCACAGCCTTGCTAGCTCTCCCATTCTGGTGTCATTTGCTCCTCCAGTTCCAAGGCAAGTTATCTGCAAAACAGCAGAACAAAACCAAATTAGCCATGATAGCTTCTGCCCGTTTCATGTTTTATCTCTACCTGGGCTTCAAATATGCATTGATTCTGTGTACAGATCACAACTGTGTGGTGGCATAACTCTACTGAAATCGACCAAAGTGTCAAGTAAAACTGTAATAATAATAATACTTATTTGTTTTGTTTTAATTTTGTAGTACTGATAAGTTATTAAAGCATATTGTGGGGAAGGGACACTATATACAGTCACACCTGTGTAGGGCGGAGTCAGTGCAGCTCTGTCCAATGAGAAATATTTTTTCAAATGTTTTCCCACCTGGCAGGCATGCAGGTAAAATTAATACATAGCACCTTTAGCTTCAGCTTTTAAGCTTTGTTTACCGCTTATTGTCAACCAGGCCTGAGGATTTCGTTTGTGTTAAACAACTTTCAACAACAGTCACTGAGAAAATGTTAATGCTAGCTCCGATTAGTTAACTAGCTAAAGTGTTACCGTTAGCTTAGTTAGCTGAGCATGTTACCAAAGTTAGCACTGGTTGGGTAATGGTTGCAGATTGACAGCCATGCGTTTGTTATGTTGCACTAAGAAACGTGTGCGTTTTTCAATCAATTAATGAGAGAGTTTAATTACAAAAACTTCTCTTGCCGTAACTTGCTGTTGAAAAGTGCATCCACCCATGCTTAAACTATAGTCCCGCCCCCCGATTTCCAGCTCTTTGGAATGTCGGTCTGTAACCTTGGCGACGGCGGTATACACAGAGTTTCAAATCTTGTCATTGGTTTTCAGGGCTGTCACTCAGGCAGCGAACAGTCACGGAGATAAATTGACAAAAGTTAGACTGAGAAATCACAAATAAAAGTATCAACATAGCCTGTCAAAACTTGGCATCCGAAGAGTGTCTGCTAATATAATTACTGGGAGTATTACTTGGAGCAGAGTAGTCAGGCTTTTACCAGTACACAGCATGAAACAGACAGTATAAATGAGAGCAGCTGGCTAGAAAACGCCTGAGTTGTAAAACAGGGATGGTCAAATAAGAAAAGGTGGATGCAGGTCTTTTTTATGGTCTGACAAAGATGTTTGGTCCTGCGGGTTCACTTAGCAGGAGAATGGAAAATAACTTACTTGTCGTTGTCCGACGGCGATGCTGCCCAGGCTGTTTCCATAGTTTTGTAGCCAAGGTTAGTTAGGTAAACTCAGGGACGATGGGTAAACAAAAGAAAAGGCTGCACCATCTGGCGAAATAGCCTTAAGAGGAGGAGAGGGAGGTGTGTTTAGAGTGGGCAACGGAGGGGGCTGTACAGAAGGGACACAGTTAAAATGTTAGAAGAAAATAAATTGTAAAAAAGAAAAACATTAAGTTAACTAACTTCATATATGTACATTATGTGTTGATGAGCTCCATTCAACACTTGAACACGTGTCTGTGAGAGAGAACTTCATCTGGGCTGTTTGACTGTGTCAGTCTTCAGTATTTGCTTTTAAAGGTCAAGGTCCTTGAACAGTGCTACAGCCAGCACTACTGTACACCTTGAAAAACAGCAGCACACAGCAACAGGGATGATCATCTCAACACTTCACAGTGAAACCCTTGTTTTCATTTTCTGAAATGGAATTGCACTAAAGTCTGTCAACGGATCTAAACAGTGCTGAGACAGATGTTCTTTTTCTTTGCAAAACTGCAACCAGCTCAGCTGTATGTAGTGGTGTTTGCTGCCATATTATAAACTGTATAAAACATGATATACCCTTTGTAAAATTAACCATTAAGGTGTGTTTTGCATGTACAGTTGCCTGTACCATCATTTCAGCACAGTACTTAAGGAACCACATGGCAGAGATCTGGCAATCCACTTAATACCTTTTAATCATGTGTTAAGAGACACACACAGCAATTTGTGCGCACTAACCTCCGGTGGATGTAATACTGTAATATGTTCATCAGAAAACACAAGAGTTTCTATCACCATAGTGGTCAAGCTCAATTTACAACTCTCAGCAAGGAAGTTGTAATTAAAGTTTAACATCTTCAAATTCATTTCTACAACATACCATATGCACTAATTATTAATCTCTTAAATTATTAAAATGTACATATTATATACAGTCAATTGTCGTAAAAAAGGGGGGGGGGGCTTGGGGGGGAAACTGTATTGAACCAACTCACATCATCCTCAGTCTGTTCTTCTTCCATTGCCACATCCAGAGAATCACTGTTTTATAGAAAGGGGAAAATAGATTCTTTTAAAGCAGTATCACAGGCTTAAATGGTAAATGGTCTTATACTTGTATAGCGCCTTTCTATGCTCTTTACAGCACACTCAAAGCGCTTTCACATTATTTGGCCATTCACCCATTCGCACTCCCAAGCACACACACACACCAGTGACATCACCGGGAGCAACTGGGGGTTCAGTGTCTTGCTCAAGGACACCTCAACATGTTGACTGGACAAGCCGGGAATCGAACCGCTAATCCTCCGGTTAGGAAACGACCTGCTCTACCTCCTGAGCCACAGCCGCCCCCGCTTACTGCACAGATAGTTAATATTTAAGGGACACAGAAAGACTTCAACATAGTGATTCTCAAATTTTTCAGTAGATCAGAACAGCTACTACATTGCCCTGCATTTGATTGAGTGGAGGCAAAAAAGTGGAAGAAAAAAGATTAAAAGGCAAGCAGGTTAAATCAGTTGAAAAAGACCCATGTCCATAACCTCCATGCTCATCTCCCAAAACCACAGAAGATTTTCTAGGTAATCGTATTAGCTTCAGGGGTCCCCAGTCAGTCTTTTGCTCTTCTTATGCCTGGGGTGGGTACTAACAGATGAGCTGAAAAAAAAATCTCTTTATCCAACTTGTGAATTACTTCTTAGTGCATGTCTTGTTATCATCCATTCCTTTTCTCACCACACATCTAAAACACTGACGAGACAGTGGTGCACTGAATCTACTTCATGTTGGAAATCCAGTAAGAGCTGCAGAAGACAGTCATTTATTGAGTGAATACATTATTTTAACATGATCAAAGTAAACCAGTCACATTGTTTTTAAGGTTGGAAAGTGGTAATATATTTTAGCATACAAATCACTGATGTTTTCACTCTTATGTAATGAAGTACGCATTGCATATCAAAAATCTAATGACATGGAGAACTTCAAGTTTTTAAGTGCTAGATATATTTAACATTCTGCACACAGACAATTAACTATTTACCAATCTTTATCCAAGACAAAATATTTAAAGCTCAACAAAAACAGAAAACCCTTGCTGTCACGTGGCATCACTATGCTACACTTCCTTGTCTGTTGATTTGTCTAAGCTGCTGTTGGTCGCTAAGGTTACAAAGCTCCCTTTGGATTGTGTTGAATCTCTTCCACACAACAGTCACCGCAACCATGCCCATGGAAATGCAGTATTAAGGACTATACAAGAATATTAAGGACTATACAAGAAAACAGCAGTAATGCTAAGCATGCTTTCAAGCTCTCAGTGTACAGGACATACATATATTCAGTCTTTTATCTAAGGCAAGTGTATGTACAGAGTAACAACGCCCAGCACGCTCCCAGGCTACTCAAGTCTTCCATAAAACATTATAAGCTTGTAGCTTTCTGCATTCTGCTGTCTACTGATTCATGGATTTCTCATTTTCTGATCATGTGTCTTAAGAAAAACAAAAATCACATCTATTTAAGCTCTCATCTTTACACAGTTCTCATTTTACCATGCACCATGGCTTTCATATTACTTTACAATTACTTTTTACAAGATACAAAGGTAACTCCATTTAAAGATGACTAAATTACTTCCAGTCTCATTATAACAATAGTCACATCTTACATCCTGAGAATTAAAAAAAAGTACAAGAAACGGACAGGTGGGATCATTCAGGTGCACCAAGGAGCATATAACACATGAAAGCAATAAAAAAAAAAAAAAAAAAAAAAAAAAAAGTAGATAGATACAAGCAGTATCATAAAAATGAGGAAATCTGCCCCGCTACTGGTTAAAAAATCTTTTAAAATGACATCACTACAATTTTGGTGTTTTTTTTTTGATTGATCATTGTCACTGTCTGTAGATTTATGGGCTCTAAACGGTTAAAACCCATGTATAATTATGGAAATGCAGCACAAAGTCAGTTGTTTTTTTTATCCCACTTATATCCCATACCCGCCGAGCTCTTTGTCTTCTCAATATAACGTTCTGAATGGGCCACTGAATAGATACAGCAACTTGCTGTAATGGATGCAAACAAGTTGCATTTTCTGCAATGGCAAATACAAGTGCAACACCCATTCCCTGCCTCTCGTGGGAAAAAAAAAAAGTTACTATGGCTATTTGTGGTCACTTTTATAAACTGATGTGTAAGAATGAGCACAACATAAACAGAAAAAGGTCTTCAAAGATACTAATAATTGACAACATGAAGCAGGCGTTTCTGAACCCTCTGTCAGACCTTTAGCTCTCTAACAAAAACACTGAAAAATAGATGCATTGATATTTTAAATACGGTGCTTTGTCTTTTTATAATTAAAAATTTTTTCCATTTTACTGACATCACAATACTCAAGTATATTCTCACAGGAAAATAAATCCAATTTTTTTATTAAATTTTTTTTTTTTTTTTTTAAATCAAGGTGCTGGGTAGCAGGAAGTGTTCAAGGTGCTGTTGTTCATCTTGAGCAATGGTCTATGGGGTGGGCTGTGGTTAGAGACAGAACTTCCTCCAAAGTTTTGCAGCCAGTGTCGTCCATACAGGTGCAGGAGCTCACTCTTCCTATTCAGAGACAGTCATTTTACATATTGACTAAATCTGACATGGAATCAGATCTCGCTAGATTTTTTCTTTTTATGGGGTGACTTCTGTAGCTGTACTTATTTTCTGAAAAGGTAGGAAATGGATGAGGCTACAGTAGGGTTGTAATTATTTTTTTGGAAAATCATTCTGCTGTTCCCCACAACACAACGAGGATGTGTACATGGAAATCTAATTCCCACCCCACTCCTATCTCTGAGCCTGTGTCCATCTCAATCCGTTGCTCTCACAATGATGTATCCTGGTGGATTGACTGCAGACAGCCCAGCAGCTGGTAATAAGGGCTGCCTGGCGAGGCCACAGTCTCAAAGACAGACTGGAAAGCCCGGCGGTCCAGCTCTTCATCAATCTGGTGATGGTAGAAATCCATGGCCACCAGGCAGAACAGGCTGACGTCCACCACTTCACTGGAGCCCATTCGGCTGATAACGTGTGGCAGTCTGGATAAGAGCCGGAGAGTTAAAGACAAAAGGCCTCGGTGTTTGATGAGCTGTACATTTACACTCTGCTGCACCGCTCCCACATATATTATACATAGGACAATTCAATCATGAAATTTATTTCATGCAAGGATACAGGGCTGAGATCCACTGGGAAGTGGAAGCAGAGACGAAGAAGCAGGAGAGGCTCCACATGGCCATGGCCACCGGTGTCCTCTGAGTGAAATTGGACAAGGATAGCAGCACCCAGTCTCGCACCATAGATGACTGACCAGTAGCATGGAGTGTCTGGAAAACCTGGACATGGGCACAAAGCAGAGGGAGAGCAGAAGTCAGAGGAGGGAAAAACAGTCAAACAGATATGAATGGACAAAGACAAAAAAGGCCGACATGTAAGAGTTATCAAACTTATCTTCTTAAATCTACATTAGTTAAGGTATTTACTAAAAAAAAAAAAAAAAAAAAAATTTCATTGTGGGTTTTTTTTTTAGCCTACAAACTTCAGTTTGCTAACTGTGGCCTGACAACGGTGTGCCTTTCAATACAGCTTTTGTTTATAAGCTGCTTCTAATCAAAAATATGTCTGATAAGAAGTTGCAAATGGCACTGCCGTTCTCTGCCCTTGGTCTTTTGGTTGTGAAAGAAGAGTTCATGGAGGTGAAAAACGAGGAGAAACTGCAGTAAATGGGTGAAATCGTGGATTCTGCAACAACAGGCCAAAGCATTGTCTTCTTATGCATTGATTCCCTAGGCTGAACAGCCAATGAGAGTGGCCTCTCTCACCTACAAGGCCCAGCCAGTCTGCCGCCGAAACAATATGCCGTATTGACCGAAAAGCCGACCAGGTCCAACTGGCACGGGACACACTGGGAACACGAGCCCTTGACAGCCGCTCACCTACAGCCACGACCCTTAGGTACTTCGCACACCAGATGCCTCAGGCACTTTCCTTCCTTGTGAGACTCACTTGGCTGCTGGTGATCTTTGATTTCAAATTTGAAATTGAAAAAAATGTTGTAATAATTATGCTGTTCTGGAAAATTCCAATTTCTGCTAAATTAGTACTCCATTTCTAAATCGATCTGGGGCATGGATGGAGTTTGCAAAATTTAGGCTGGTTTTGCAAATCAACCCACTACAAAAAAACATTATTTTTATGTTTAACAATAGATTTCAATAGAAGCATACTTGAATCATTTGCTAGACTACAAATTCGACTGACTGCACTGATCTTATTTACTCTGTATTTTACATTCCTGGACAACAACTGAAAACCGGTGTCTCCAGCTCGACTTTGTCTTGACAACCGTTTGTCTGGTTGGACACAACAGAGCTGACCTGAGTGGTCAAAACAGAAGTACCAAGTAACAGCTGAGACTGGACTTCATTGAAATTCTTTGTAATGCTCCTTGCAACAAGCCAACTACCAGTAAGAGAACAAAACCTTTTGAGCACTGGAGCATTTCAGTGAGAAGAATGTGATTTTACCGGGTTTTTTTTTTCCCAGTCAGACTATAAGACTGCCTTGTGAGCCTGATGTACAGAATACAACATAACACATTCTGAATATTATTGTTTGGTATAAAATCCATAAGGAAAATGTTTGAGTCAATTTGTTTTTATTCGCATGGACTCATGTTGTGCTGCTGACCTTGTAGACAACAGTGGCCATGAATTGTGGGTAAGGTTGCTGATTGGACAGGAACTCCCCGATGACCTTGTTCATGACATCCTGTGGCGGGAAGAAGTCATCCAGGAACTGCGGCAGAATCCTGGACACCACTCGAGCCTCGCTGGGTAAACCTTTCCTGATCCTGAAAACAGGGAACCCCAGAAGAGCAAGTGATGTGGGGAAACAAAATTATTGTCAAGAAGAGCGAATTTTATAATTCTGGACACCCACAGGTCAGAAACATTTTAAGGTAAAGGAAAACAACCACAAAAAACTTTACACCTCTACACTAAACACATGTTAAGATAAACAAATACAAAACGTAAAGTCAGATTTATGGCTGCATCAGTTCAAAACCACAGATTCAAACCAAATGCATTTGAAAATGGTGTGAAATTGATATGGATATCACTTATTGATCTTTGGCAAGTTTTCTGTTACTTCTCACTATGCTCTGCTCTAGTGTGTGCGTGTGTGTTGCACCATCTCCTGCTGTTGTTCAAACACATGCCTCCTTAACGATACAGGTCTAGGAAAAAAACTGTGCACTATAAAGATAGTTGCGGGAGCAAACAGTGCCTGTGTCAGCAGCTACTTCTGAGTGCAGAACATGCAGTGCTTGTGCAAAGTAGTCTGTACCGGGAATACCATGGAGGTAGAACCTTTATGAAGGTGACACATTCGTGAACCGATGGAAACAGTACCATTTGGTGCAAGGGCAGTCACCTTGAAGCAAGTAACAGTGCGAGTGTTAGCAGCAATGTTAGGAGCTGCCCGGTTGGGTTGAAGTCAATAACTGAAGCTATTTCATTTGCAAGGACACACACCTGGGTTGTTGAAAATGTGGGATTTGGACAAATGAAAGTGACTCTGAAGCACATAAGAAGTCGGCAGGATTTAAGTGAAAAAGCAGCTGGAGGTTTACTGTTCACCAGTGCCCATTGTTTACTATTGTTAAAAAGAGTAGACATCATGTTTTATCTATTTGGCTTTTGCTGCCTGGAATACAAAACTGCTTTGAGGAAAGACTCATTTTAAATTTTATAACCTAGCTTGATGTATGTACAGTTTTTCAAATAAAAGCTACATTAAAATTGAATATCTGCTGAATCGAAATCACTCTGAATCACACTGTATCATATTACAAATGTTGCAGTTTTGTAGTATGCATCAAATCCTGTGAGAGGGAGAGATACAAACCCCTAGTTTGGTGGTTTCTGTTACAAAACATCGCAATTTATGTGCAATGGAAGGTTTGTGCCTACCTGTCGAAGAGCACAGAGATCCTCTCCATGGCAACAATGACTGATTCGCTGTCTGCGGCCTGAGGATCAGAGTGGGTGGGGCGACTGGCTGGGCTGGCTTTCTCCTTGCCTGAGGAGAAACCAACATGAGCCGCCGGGATGCCCGCAGCCTCCGCCCAAGTCAACCTGACCTCTAACCCCTGTCGCGTCTGAACCTGATGTAAGCACCGCTGAGAGGATGAGAGGGGGGTGGCACCGGTTGAACCAGTGGGAGAGAGATTAGAGTGGGAGTAGAGACACTGATACAGCATGACAAGATTCAGATCAGAATTTAGTGGACCTTAAACAAAAAACTGATGAATTTCTGGGAGCTACTGCCTTCAGTCAAATCACATCCTTAAGTAGGTTTTCTCTAAGTGACTGGTGCTTAAAGGATCAGACATTTTCAATGCCATGTTTCCTGGGTACATTACAGACTAGATGAGCCTCTCTTGTGACCTCAAGAGGTGGTATGCAGAAAATTAGGAGTCTGTTTGCATTTACAAGAATTGGGTTGTTGTTTTTTTTGCAGGATTTGCTTGCTAGCTCTTGGCAACAAAGAGGTGTTAGCCTGTCAGCAGAAGGACAACAGCATTCTGAGAGCTGCTAGAGTTAGTAGGGGCCGATGTAGGGGTTAGAGGTAGGGTATATCATAGGTATAGATGGAATACATGTTTCGCATGCAGGTTTTTTTTTAAATGCTGTAAACAGACATAATGAATGTGAGTCTAAGCAGGTAAGTTAATGCAGCAGGAAATGCTAGAGAACACAAAGATAGCACATGCAATTGTAATGACTACTACATTTCCTATCTATACTAGTCATGCACCCCCTTGTCTCCACCTATACTACTGTAAAGCAGATACATTTAAAGGCCAATATTACTTCAGGAAAGTACAATAGGTACCTTTAACTTTACCTATACAGTAATATCAGTAATCTGAGATAGACAGATTGATAAGAAAATGTGTGCCTTACTAAATGTTAAATCTTAGACTGCTTTAGGTATAATATGTTGTGTCCATACCAGGGGTGGGCAAGTCCAGTACTTGAGCTACTGCCCTGCTCGTGTTCCAACTATCCCTGCCCTACCCACTGCTGATTACCTGGATCGGGTGTGTTCAGCCAATCAGAAGCTGGAAGATACCAGTTCACTTTGGGTATGTCTCCTGTCTCTTATAAGGACCGTCATTTCCCTCACTTGCATCTTTTTAGTGTCTTAGTCCTACCCACGTAAGATGCAAAGAAAAGATGTGAGGAGAAAGGACTTGAGGAAACGCGTTAATGGCAAGAGACAACCTTTCCTCAGATCCTTCATTTGAATTGTCCGATCACAAACTGATTTCATATAAAGGGGCGTGTCAGTTCACAAAAAAACCAACTTTCCGCTAAGGAAGGTTTCATGTTTCCTCAGTCTTGGTTCCTCCAGCACCGCCCTCGATCCACAGAGCCAATATAAGAGACTGGCAACATCTTATAAGAGACACGAGACCCTGTGTCTTTCCTCACTCCACCTTCATATAAGATGGTATCTTACAGTGTCTCATTGATTGAACACACCTGATCCAGGTTATCAGCAGTGGGTAGGGCAGGTATGGTTGGAAAACAAGCTTGATTTAGCCACTTGTTAGCAACCACCCTTTTTACTGATAATAACAAAACACGATCAGATTATATCCTACTTTAACTGCTTACATATTTCTTTTGAGCTGTTCCCAAGGTGTGTTATAGAGATTGCAAAGTCCGGAAAGATGATTTTCAATCGTCCCACTATATAAAACATATCTTTCAGGAAGAGCAGGGGCTCCATAGTTTGATACAAATCATATTTGTAAGGAGAGTTGGAGGGGTCGTTTCAGAAATGTTTAAACAGGGACACCACTACAATGTACATGCTACTAGGAAGGAAAGGATCTAAGATAACCGCAGAGGGAAGAAATGAGACAGCCTTACTGAGGAAGAGCAATTAAATAATAATTAAACCTGCATGACTGCAAGCTTAACTAATGTTAGTACATCAGCCTGAGTCAGAAGTCTTGATAAAATAGTCTCCTTTTTGTGGAGTGTCCATGCAAGTGAGTAAGCCAGCTAGCCTGAAGCCAGGGTGAGTTTGCAGTGCAATGACACAGTCACAACTGCAGTAATCAAAGCACCAGTCCTAGCAGAGTACATGCTGGTGATTTAGCCAGCATGCAGTGTTAAGTCACGTTAAGGTCTCACTTACCAGTGTACATGCAGGTGAGCATGAGTCCCAGCGCGGCCATGGCTCTGTGCGGCGACGTCATGTTGACTCGGTCGACACTGAGTTTGACCAGTGCTTCTCCATCCACTCGCGTCAACTGCTCTGACAGCAGGAGGCGCTCCAGACCACGCAGCACGCAGTGATAGATGATGGAGGGAGTGGAGTCTTCGGTGGCCGACACCATCACACCGCACAACTGGAAGACAGTTGCAGAGGCGGAAGAGGAAGAGGGGAAAATAAGCTTTATATATTCTTTCATTCCACTGTGTATGATACACTTCAGGGTTTGTTTTCCCATGTTTATTTTACTATACCTGTATGACTCCAGCCATGAATTCAGCTCCTACATCCAGAGGGTAGTTCTCTATCATGTAAAAGGCCACTGCACACATCACCAACACATGCTGCTGGTTATGTAGGTTCACACAGCTGCAGAATGGGGGGGCAAACAGAACAAGTGGTGCAAAATGAAGATTAAAATGGAGAAATAGAAAGCCCAGTAGATATTTGTTTGAAATGTGAAGGGCAGCACCTAATGGCCAAGAATTGCAACACCTTCGTTTCCATCACCTTATTAAGCTAGATAAAAGTATTTGATCTGAAGACACACTTTGAGTGAAGGGGTGGGGGCACACAGTGACATTAAACACACTGGCTCCCTAAGGCTCTGTCATTATCAGTTTAGCTCATTAGATGATGAAATGAGGTCAGGGTCTGTGTGTGTTTTGAAGATTGAGAGACTGAGGGCAACACTCACTGAGCTATTGCCCTGAGGTTGGACAGCAGGTACTCCGAGACAATGGGGATGAGCTGTTTGGCTGTGTCATCCAGCAGGTCACACTCCAACACATACAGCACTCCATGCAGAGCCCCCATGCGGCTTGGCAGGTGGGTACTGCGCAAGTTCATCTCCAACAGTCGACACACAGGCTCAGCTATTGCTTTGTCCTAGAGATGAAAATTTTCATTTTTTTTTTTACATTGTCAGTAAAATACCAGATTCTACCAATCATCCACACACACATAATGTATTCTATCATCATCCTATGTCTACAACCTACATAGCCCTGCTCACCATGCCCAGTACAGCAGCAGCTTTGCAAATGGCAGGCACCAGGTACTGATTAAGAATCTCATCCTCAGGTGGGTGGAGCTTCTGCAATTCTATCAGGGTGGAGAACATCATGTCAAACTGGTTCCTCTCTGTGAACAGGTCAGACACTGCCAGCAGCTACAGAAAATGGCAAGAAGAAAGACAGTGGAGAAAGGTGAGAGGAGAGCTGATGTATAGATTTTTTCCTGTTCCCATGACAGACAAGCAGGTATAAATGTGAATGTGTTTGAATCCTAGCAAATTAAGGTCTTTGACACTAAACAGTTTTACCCATAGTTCTTTTCCAGAGGACAGTAGACAATAGGAACAAACAGACATCTAGCAGTGGGTGTGTGTGTGTTGTACTGCAGCTCACCGATCGGACCACTTCACTGATGAGGATGGTTGGGATCCTCCTGTTACTCAGTGAACCAGGGATCAGCCATTGGCTGTAAAGCTCCAGGAGAAACTGAGAACATGAGTGAATGTCCACACCTGCACGGTGCTTCCTAAAAGCACAGGAAGATGGTGGCAGGTTGGTGCACGCATGCTCATTTCAGTACATGTGCAGTTGAGACTACAAAAATGTGTACATGTACTGTATGTGTGTTTATTTGTCTGACCTAGAATTGATGGGAGATAAAGGTGGGGAGGTTGGCACAGGAATGTCTGCCTCATCTTCTTCATCCTCACCCCATTCTTCCTCCCTCAGAGGAGTGATGTTGTTCCCCAACCACACTGAATGGATGGAGACCTGGAGAGAGAGAGATTGCAGGTTACAAACACCATATTCCAAGACACCATTTCTAAAGTTTCTTCTTATCAATCTATTCCTCTTTTTACTGCTTCCCCTACCTGTCCGAGTTTATAGTCCATGTTGCCCATCTCCCTCTCTGTATTGATCTGAAGCAGCAGCTTCTCATGGCTGATCAGTGTACCTGCTGAAATAAAATTAATAAAGAAATGTATTCAATTTTAACAAATGCAAGAAGGGATATGTGTCAGTGCAGGAGTTTGGGGGCAGAGAGTATTTGAGTTGTTGTATGTTGGTTTCTATGCCGGTTACCTGGGGATGCTGCTGACAGTGAGGGCACAGGGTCCCAGGTGTGGTACGGGTGGTGTGTGTGGACATTGTCTCTTTTTGACACAAGAGCCTGAATCTCTCTCTCCACCTCACCCCTGATCATTGCAAGTTTCCTTCCAAACCTGAGTTCATACATACAAATAAACAAAAACAAAAAACTCTAGATGCTGCTACATTGTGGTTGCTGCACAGTCAATAGAACATAGATGCAGAGCTACCGTGTTTCCAGAGCTTTGAGGCTCTTGTTGCGAGGCTGCTGTTCCAGACAGCTCACTGCTGGGTTGCCAGCAGCGGGCAGGGTCATGGCACTCAGCACCAGGCTGGTGATGGCCTGCACTGCTAACACATTCAACTGTGTGCGCTCTAAGTCCTCCTAAAGACAAAAGGATAAAAAAATAACTCAAGTGTATAAAGTAAACAAATGCTTTCATGTTTCTCAAATTAAGCAATTGCATGAGTGAATGAGAATCTCGCCAACTAGCGGCATGTTAAATAAGTAAAATGTGTTTTATTTGTGTGTATACCTCCTGTTGCGCCTCCTCCTCCTGGTCCATAGTGATGGGTTGCGTGACCAGCACCCCCAGCAGAGTGGCCCATGTCTCCTCAAACTGTGTCCTGCTGCTCCATCCTGAACATAGAGCAACCATGGTACATGTAGCTAAGATGTGTAGATTTTGCATTTATATTTGTCTCCAAATATGGAGACAATATGGCAAAGTCAGTTTTAGTGCTCTGTATGTTTCTCTACCCAATGTGTTGATGCGATAGAGAAACTCTCTGAAGACATCCTTTTCCTGCAGGAAGTCAACAGGGATCTCAGGCAGCTTTGTGCCAAACTCTCCTCCTGGCTGAGGGGACCAGCCCAGTTTCCAAACCTACACACACACACACACACACACAGCATTTAAACAATCACACTAAAGCGTTCATTTATCTGAACTGAAAGTGATTTCTTTCACACACACTGACCAGTGGAGGCACTCGGGTATAGCTGTTGACCAGAGGTAGTCGAGACAGACTTATGACAATGTTGCGCAATGTTGGTGTGAGAAAAGGTGGCAATACACGGTTTCTGTGGTGACCCAGGGAAAGGATGCTCTGCAGGCCTTCCACCAGCTCTGCCATGATCTCACATGCTTGCCACTGATACATGTCTGCAACACAGAGGAAATATGACATCACATTAACCGCTAGAGGTTTCACATGAGATCGTAACACAACCAAGTAGTTTTACTGAATCTCTGAGGATTGCTCACGCTCAGCATGTGTAGAATCTACTTGGTCTCCTTCTGTCTTCGTCTTTTTCTTCTCTGGATGCAGCAGCTGGTCGCCAGGACTCACAGCCACTGAGAGGCACATACAAAGGGTTTAATCAGCGATGAAATGAAAATATGTTTAAGTCTCAAGCCACACTAAAATCATAGGGGATATATAAATGTGTCCTGCTGCCCTCGTTACCTGCAACAATGATAAGGCGTAGGCAGTAGATGAGGGAGCAGGTGTGTGTGGTGTACTCTGGGGTTGACAGCTTGTTCCAGACACAAGGCTGCTGCAAGGCCAGACACAGGCAGGACAGAGCCCACTGCAGGTCCACACTTAAGGGCAACTGGTCCTGGAGCAGACGCCACACTAGCACCTTGCCAAAGACAGTCGCATGAGGGCAGAAGAAGAATGTTGAGAATAAAAATAAAAAAAAGTGGATGCAAGCAAACAAAGTAACATGCACTACTACACCACTATGTTGCTAAGGTTGCCAAAATGTCTCTGTCTATTCTACTGGAATGCAAACAAAGACATTTCCTTTAAAATACTTTGACTTAATGCATCTACAGTACAAGCATGAATTGGCTCTCCAGAGCACTCAAGGGGCTAATAAACATAACACACTTGATCTTTTACCTCAGTGGCAGTGCAGGTAAAAGTGGTGATGAGGTCTTCTTTATCAGAGGGAATATGCAGTGAGGAAGGCAGCTGACTCACACTCAGCAGGTACTGAGACAGAGCTCTGCAGAGTGACAGAACCCGGGGATAGAAACCTGGCTCATCTGAAAAACAGATGACAGTGAACACATAAAATACACTGATCTGTAGGCTGAGGTAGCAGAACATTTTCCACAGCCAGTTCAGGATTTAAACCATCCTCACACAACTGAGGTAACCCATGCTCACTTCATGCTTGTTTATCAAAAGCCAGCCCAACATTTGACATAAGCCTTCATTCTGCAACTCCGTAACATTCTGCCCACTCTCACCATACACATCAGCCAGTTGCTCCCAGTATGGTTGTGGCAGGGAGGGAGGCAGGAAGGACTGGTGTGGAACAGGAAGTGACCCAGTGACTCCTGCCAGTTGCTCTAGGGTCACCTGCAAGGTGGTTTCCAACAAGAGTGACCCCTGACCCCGTGCTAACCGCTGCAGCCCTATACTCAGGCATGGACACAGCAGGCTGAGGTTGAACTCCTGGAGAATGACAGAATAGATAATTATGAAGTGAATATATAAATAGTAATGAATAAAGTGACTATTCATCATGTCCTGAATGGCTGAAAGGCGTATCACCTTGCAGTTCATTATGCCGAGGAGATCAGCAGGAGGTAGTTTGGTGAGAAGTTCTGTAGTCTCCAGCAGGGAAACATCTCCACGAAGACAGCACTGAGACTTCACCAGAGCCATGTACCACTCCTGCCATATAATGAAATAAAATTACATACACAAGTATGTATGCTGAAGTCTTTTCTTTTGTGATGTTCCTTGGTATGGTTTTGGTTGTTCTATGAACCGAGATTGAGACACACAGTCAGAGACAAACAAAATGGGAAAATACACTGTGATCCTGATTCCTCACCTTATCTGCAATGACCCGTTCAGGGGCAGGGGGTGGATCGCCATCTAAGGGGTGTGATGTCACAGGTGGGGTGGGGCTGCTGGTGTCGGCAACAGTGGCTCTGAACCTGTCCAGCAGGGAGTAGAATCTCTGATGCCTGTGGGTTTAGGGTTGCAACAGTATGAGATTTTCACAGTATGATAACGGTCTCAGAAAATATCACGGTATTACACAATTACTATTAGTATCAGCTACAACGACCCTCAGAAGAAAAAAAATGGGTCTTTTTGATTTCAAGTGACTGTAGCAGTCAACTGAGCTGGACTACAGCAGTAGACTGACCCTGAAGAATAAATAAAGTTATAATGATGACAGCATACAACGATTACATGTTACATAACTAAAGCATGTTAGCACCAGTAGTAGAGGAAGTATTCATACTTAAGTACTAATATCACACTGTAAAAGTAGACAACTCTGTTACAAAACGTCCTGCATTAATAATGTTAAGTACTCACTGCAGAAAAATGCTTTATTATAGAGTATATTATATTATTACATTAACAGCCTATCACTTATGCACTGATTTGCAGGATTTGACTTGTAGTTGGTTGAGGTGGCGCTCTCCAAGATTATTTGTATCCAAGTGCAAGTGCTGATTATTTTCATTACGGGTTAACCTGCTGATTATTTCCTAAGTTAATTGACTGACTGGTTTGCAGTAGTGAGACATGCCATCACACAGCTCTAAACACTTATCCAAATAGTTGTTAATTTACTGTAGGTGCATGAGAGTGCAGCCAGACCTGTCTGTGCCTTCAGTCATGCACACAGGTACATACTCATTTTATGTGAGCTGGGAAAGTTTGTGTTTCTGGGGTCAGATTGGGATCAGTGAGAGTTCTTTTCTAAGTCAGAAATTAGCAAATGAACAGACAATATGGAAAACTGTTTCAGTAGCACATTTTATAACCGACTTTATAACTGTTTATTGTTTGGGATTAAAGTTATAAACGGGACACATACTTTGACCTGCACGGAGGGATGGTGTTCGTTTTTGAGATATCCAAAGCAATCCTACGCCATTGATTTAAATTTCTTTTTTTGGTGGATAGAGTTTGGTGATTTCAGCCTCCTCTCCGCTACGTGTCTGTGGGTGTGGCGCCCATAGTGCGGTCTGACAGGCACTCGGGGAAGAAAGGTGGGCATGCATTGCTTTTTTTTCCCCCGATATCTTCAATGATAACAGTAATTTTCATACAATAAAATACTGTAAAACTGGTATATTCCTGCAACCTGACATTCATTCTTCACTGTGACAGAAATCAGTCCTGCTGATGAAAAGCAAGAAACTCTGCAGATTTAATACACCCTACATTAGGAATATCTGTCAGCCATTGCCACAACAGCTGACAGTTATTACAAAGGTGATTTATAAGCAAATTATAAGTGTGCAACTGAACGCTAACACTACAAACTATTACTAAAAATGTTTCTTACTGTACCTCTGAGCCAGGCCACTGGTCTGAAGGTATTCCTGGATCCTGTCCAGTTCTTCAACTGGCAGCTGAGCTATACTGTTCTGCAAGGGGGAAGGGACAGATTAATGTACGATCAGCCTCAAAGAAATCACAAGGAAACAGCAAAACGTACAGCATATTAACTTTAGCACTTTTTCCTAAGTAAGAAATTCTCAAGTTTTCCAAAGCTTCATAGACAGACAAAAAGTTTGCATCCAAATAATTTAACTAATGTATCACAATGTATTCAGCAACAGAATCTAATGCTCCACATGCAAGCACTGTACCTGTAGTGTCTCAGCCAGCAGCATCTCAACCCTGCGACAGGCCAGTGTGTCCACCATGCGAGCCAGAACCCTGAAGGGTGTACTGAGCAGCTTGTCCACATATAGCATCAGCAGGGAGCCAGACTGACTCAGGTGAATTCCTTCCAAACACTGCAGTGTCTTCTTCAACATGGTAGGCTGCAAAGACAAAGAGAGTTCAGGTAGTAAGGCAAAAAAAATGTGAGGAGGTGGTGAGGAAGAAGAGATAAGGAAAAAATTAAATTATGCCTATAATGAAATACTTTAAAGAAAAGAAAATGACCATTGGGTGACTTAAGAAATGAGACAGCTATAAAAGAATGGAAGGAAAAAAAAACTGAGGGGAATTACTGGGCAAGATGAACAGAGTGGAGAAAGAGCAGTAACAACTTGAAAAGAAATCAGGATTTATTTAAAGTACTTTGGTCAAGAATGGTTGTTAATGTGCTTTATAAATACAACATCTTGGTTAATGAGGGATGATGGAAAGAGGCAGATAAAAGAGTGTAATCTCACTGTAGTGAGGTTGTCACAGCGAGACTGGATGGCCTGGATGAAGAGGCCACTGGCAGCTGAGTTGCGGTGCACAGCACTGATGAAATCCTGAACTGGAGGCTCATGGGAAAGGCTGATGAGGTCACGCACATGGTTGACAATCAGCCAGGTCAAATGCTCTGAGTCATGGAGGTTCTGACACTAAAGAGATAAAAATAAAAAACACTAAGGCTAGGATAAATCAAGACATTTTTGATGATTACTGTCAATTTGTTATTTATTCCAACATTGTTAAAACACTTTTGCATTCTCAAGAGCCTCACCACATAGTCACAGAAAAGGATGAGGGCTCCCCTGCGTACGATCTCTCTATTGACCATTGCTAACCGGGACTCTGGCTTCTCTTCTTCGCCTTCCCCTGGGGAGTAAGGGCTCAGCAGCTTTGTGCAGGAGAGGCTGTGTGTCCTGAGACAAGGAACAAAGAGAAAGATGTAGGCCTGGGTGATGAACAGAGGATTCAAAACTATTCTAAATTTGTTGTTCTCTTATATACATTTTACTAAAGCTTACGTTATAGTAACGCATTAACAACAATTCCTTTTAACTCAGTGCTTTTGACGGACAATTAAAGCATGCACATTCTGTGATTATGACCCTTGGCCTGCCCCATAGTTTAGGAAATCAGGAAGTGATGCAGCAGTGGAAAAGAACAGAAATTTTTGAATGGCAAGATCAGCTTCAAAGCTTCCTTATAGTGCCCATTTGACAAATCACCTAAAGAGGAGGTTCTTTTTTCTTATACCAAGTTCATCCATTTTGGGAGTTTTTCCCCCTACACAAATTCTAAACTTGCCATTGATGAGTCCCTCATGCTTTCTGTACCTACCTGGGAGTCTGGTGAATGTCAGCCCACCAGGAGTAGTTAGTGTAGTTGATAATGAGGAGGACCTGGCACCAGAGCAGAACCAGGGAAGGGTGGGTGGTGATGAGAGACTGCACCGTGCTGTTCAGCTCTTCTAAGGTGTAGAAGAGGCCCTCTTCAGGTCCAGCCTGTCCACCACCACCCTCACCTGTCAGGAGACGGCTGGCTGCAGCTGTTATCCTTCGAAACATCCCTGGAAGGAAGAAAAGAAAAAAAAAAAAAAAAAGAGACAAACAGATCAAGAATTTTCACATGGTTTAAAAAAAGACTAACAATGTCCATCAGCTCCAAAGGATATCATGCAATGGTTTTGTTGCATTTAGTTCATTTCACTATAAAACTTAATCAGCTGCTAATTAAAGAAGACACTTGTTTTATTAAAAAAACAAAAATGAATATTCAGTTACTTTGCATGCTCACCACTTTTGAAGATGTGTATGAGGCACATGAGCAGTGTGCCCAGCTGCTGGCAGTAGAAGGTGTGCTGCTGCTCTGTAATGTCCACTCTAACCTGCCTGGAAGAAATGTCATCCAGCAACACACCTACCAGCTGGAGCAAAAACCTGGAGGGAGGGGATGGAGGAGGGAGGGGGTGGAGGTGGCAATGAGACAATCGTAAGCAAAAGAGAATGAAGAGGAAATTCAGATATGTGAAGGCAAGATAACTGCAAAACAGCAGTGAATCCTTACATTATAAAAATATAATCTCAACCAGACAGTGAATACACACACACACACACACTAACCTGGCAAATGTTTCCTCAGGTGGGACTTTCTGTGCCTCACCATTAGCTTCCTGGTTAACAAGCATGTCAGCAGCAGGCAAGTCATTTAGGGAGAGGCGTTGCTGGTGCAGGCGATGGACTGTGTGGCAGGACAGGAGATGTGGGGAGAGTGAGAGCTCGTGGACCCGGGAGAGGACAATGTCCTCAGTGGACTGCGAGACGAGGACCCTGAGCACTGCCAGAATACCAGACACCCACAGCTGGACTGTAGCTACTGATGCCTGGAGGGGCGGAGGTTTGATTTCAAGTCAAACTACAAATCCACATTTCATATCACTTAGCAAGAAGTATATAGAGAAGGCAAATGTCTGTCCAAGTCTTTGTGCACATTTCGATATCAGATGAGATGTCTCACCATAGTGGCCGGGATGGTGAACATACTCTTGAGGAGCATGTCTACAGGTCTGAGGGAGGAGGGTGCCACGGTCTCAAACAGAGTGTTTAACACTCCCAGTGCCTCTGGAGAGTCCAGATGCATCTGTGAGGACAACATACAAACATGTCTGAATTGTCAGCCCATTACATATATTCAGTGGTTACTATTTATCAGTGTGCATCAACATGTCTGATCTTAAATAGCATGATTTAAATTTGCAGGGAAACGAGCTGATTATCACAAACATATACAACCTCACATTTTCCTACCTGCTGCTTAGCAATCATTGGGAGTATGACATCTGCAATCTGTCTGGACAATCTCTTCCACTTGTCCTCATTCTCTTTGTGACACTGCTGCAGTACAAGGATGAACATCTCCAACACCTACAATGCACATGTAAAAGCCAGTGTAAGGCTGAGAGAAGAGCACCCAGAGTACCTCATGGCATTAACCTGCTGTGTCTTTCTGCATATACCTGATGGTGCTGTACCAGTCTGAGCAACATGGAGACCACAACTTCTTTCTGTGTATCCAGCTCTTTGCCTGCATCTGCTTTGTTTGAGCCCCTCAAGACAAACAGGTCATGAACTATTGGCTGCAATGCTGGGATGGCTGAGAAGGAAGGAAGTAAGAACAAAAGTACACTCACATCAGTTATTAAACTTCTATTATGAGAATCACTGGCCCTGATTACAACATTCTTACATGCACAAGAAATGACTGCATGTGGCATATATTGCTTGGGTTTCTCTCACCGTGTGTGATGGCCTTCCTGCCGCTTGCCATGATGCCATCACACAGCTGGATGATCTTGGGAATACTGATAATCTGCTTGGAGTGGTAGCGCTCATAAGACAGCAGCACCAGGAAGAAAAAGATGTTGGGAATGATGGCCTCTGAATCTCTGTGCAAGAAGTACAACAGCTACAGTTCACTTTCCAGGACAGCTTTGTCAAATTTGGATCAATAATACAGTGAGCAAACATGAGCTTTAATCACATAACCAACACAACACAAGGATCTTTTACAGGATTCATAGAAGAAGATTTACCGGAACTGCCCCACTTCAATGTACTCAAACTGCTTCAGGACAAAGCCTATGAAAACCTAAAATGTAGCAAATATCTTCATGAGTGAGCTAGAATTCACAGGTTGAAGATAAATGCATGAAGACCATGTGTGGGTTTTTTTTTTTTTCCTCTAACCTGATCCGAGTCCAGCAGGCAGTAGTTGACTCTGAGCTGCACAAGCTGGGCGAGCAGGTCCAGCACTTGTCTCTGCAGGGCCACTGATGTGCTGGTGGTGTACTGCTTCAAAGCTTTGATCACCAGTGGCTCAAACAGACGAATGTGGTTGTGGATGGCATTCTGGGAAAACAAAGAGGAAAATCTCAAACAACATTTGGTGTCTTGAGCTACAGGTACAATGTCAGGGTAGTGCATGTGTACCTTGTCTCCTCTGTTGCGTGCTGCATTTGCAATGTTGGATCTCAGCTGGTTGGAAGCTTTTTGCATCACATCAAACCATCTAATAATAGACAAAGGAGGAATGTTCTGCAATGTTCTACACATTCTATACACATTTATCTCAAGCACAATGCCTGCTCCAATGTGAAATCTGTGTTGCTACAACCCACCCAGAAGTGTCCTGCTCCTGCTCAGCCTGCACCATGTTACGGAGACTTGCATCAGCCAGGGCCTGAGTGAAGTGTGTGTACGGTGCCATGAAGCAGTAGTGATAGAGGCCTGGTCGCACGCTTGAAGAGCCAAGACGGAGAGCCCTGCCCTGGGAGCGGCTGGGTCCGCTCAGGACGCCCTCAGACTGGGATGCCAGATTGGTTCCAAACAGGGTCTTTAATAGCTAATGAGTAAAAACAAGTCTTCAACTATTAGAACAAAAAAAATGTTGGATAATATGACATCTACAAAAACTAAACTACATATAAGGTATAATTTTCTGAAGACATTCTGACTTGATTCAATAAACTCTCAAATTTAGTCTAGAATAAGCTATAAGATCTGAACATTTTAACTAGCAACCCAGAACCTTTTTCTTGGCATTTAATCATCATCAGGTCTTGTCTTAATGCTGTTTTAAACAGTCTAGTATTCCTGAGAGATGTGGGCATTGTAGTGTTTTCTATTTCTGCAATTGTCAGACCATTTAATTGTTGCACTGCTATTATTCAGTGATCTTGGTCTTGCACAAATGTTTTGGAAATACAATTTTTTTGTGTGGGTTCTTGCTTCCACAGGATCAGTAAGCACACGGGACATACCCTACACTTTCCAGCAAAAACCACCCTTTTATAATTCTGTTAGTATTCTAAATTGCAGTGTTTAATGCAAATTGTCGACATTTTTAACTAGATTTTTTTTGCCGATTCTATCCATCTTTTTATGAACTGTAGAATTTGTCAAGTGTCAAAAGAAACAGAACAAATCCGAGCAGGATATTACTTTGTGTGTCTCTATAAATATGAATGTATGGAACCATCGCACAGGGAAACCAATGCCTTTACAGGCCCTGTCGGCAGGAACCAGCCTCGCTCTGTGTGGAGTCGCACCGTTTGCAGCACACTACTCAGTGCTGGAACCATAAAGACTACCACACACGCACGTGCGCGCGCGCGCGCGCGCACACACACACACACACACACACACACAGTGCCTTTAAAAATAGAAACAAAAATTAATAGATCTACACTTACAAACAGAGATTACTGACCTGTTGTACACAAACAGTAGCCATAGTTGGTTCTCTGGAGAAGCAAGACTTGAGGTAACCAAGAATTTCCTCCACACACTGACAGAAAAGATAAAACATTTTTTATCTAATGGTTTAAACATGCATGAATAACATCCTCTCATTCTTGTTCATTGGCTTGTATTAATGAAACTAAATAACTTAATTTGTTTCCATTGAGCAACCAGTCTAAGTCAACCAAACACACCACATTCCTACTCCCACTAACATTACTTTTTACACTGTCCTACTGGAGTTGATAAAGTCACCTTTACCTTGCTGATGTCATGTAGTGTGGCCAGCTCCAGCAGCTGAGACAGGACGTCTAAGGTGGCACGCAGGAAACCTCCAAACTTCTCCTGGCTACTGTGGAGGTCCAGTGTCACCTAGGAAACAGAACAAATACAGGTCACTTCAACAGCAACTACTTGCACTACCCTAAGCTCATAAAACATTTTTGTTATGACAGGAAATGCTTTAAAATCAATTAGTGTTCTGACCTTGTAGTTGGCATGTGTAGCTTTGAGGACATCGTAGAGCTTGAGGTAGGGCAGCAGGTGGTAAAAGCTGCCGAGGGTGGTAGATTTGTTGATGGCCGTTGACCCAGTGCTGTCTGCTGGCCTGCCTACTCACAAAAAACACAACTTCACTAAATCTTCACAGTCAGTCAGAGAGATGATCTGTACCAGTGTTAGTGCATAGGTGTGCATATACCTGTGTTGACCTCATTGCTTTTCTTTGGACTCATAGGGACAGTGCTGGGCTCAGCAGTATCCTTCTCTTTGCCTTTTCTCCGGATGGGACTGAGGGAGGGGGTGTTGCTCAGGGATGGGAGGGTGGCCTACAACAGTAAGGAACAGAGTATAAAACCAAACTCGATAAAATGCTTACCTACAGATGCAAATTGTAGTTATAAGATGGCATAAGCCAGTAAAATATGGCAGAGAAAGAACTGCTTTGACTGAGAGCCAATCGAACAAAACAACACATTGCCTCTTTATCAGACTCACCTTTACTGCTGGTCCGGGTGGTGTATCATCCAGCACGTGTGCGCAGATATTGAGGATCTTCAGAAGGTGGGAAAAAAGCTGCTCCACCATGGCCACCAGGGGGCGCTCCAACAGCGCTGCCCATGGCTCCTCCATCTTATTTGGGCCTGTGCTCCCACTGCTGCCGTCCTCCTCACCGGTCCAGGGGTTGCGCATGCATTTAGTAACCACAGCTAGAAGTGTGATTATCAGAAAGGTTAATCAGTAACTGCTTACTGTTTTTTGAAGGCTTTGCTTGCTTGAATGGTGGTACAGTAAAACATGGTGACATTTTTATGCCATTACCCACCAGCAAGCAGATTGCCAGAAAGCAGAAGTGCATCTTGGTGTGCCGAAAGATCCAGTGGAAACCAGGCAGAGGAGAGTAAGGAGAGGACCATGTTGGCCATTCCCACTGTCAGACTCCTCCGCTCAGTGTCTGGTGTAGATGAGGTGGCCGAAGAGGCCGAAGCACTGCTGGACTGTGACAAACTGCAGAAAAGAGACACAATGACAGAAAACAATGAGGTTTGTAAAGAAGAATTTGAATACACAGCAAGGGTAACATATTACACCATCTATGATGGTAATTAAAGGAAGAGTTCATGAGGGAGAAAGAGAGTACACAAACCTGAGGGCCCTGCCTCTGCTGCGGCTGAGACTAGAGCGGGAAGAAAAGTTGCTACCGGACATAACATAGCCACAGTTCCAGCCGGTGCTCCAAGTGCACACTGGAAAATTTGAAGCCAAGAGGCACAAAGCCTCACAGCAGCCAAACTGTAGAAGATCAAGCAAGGGAACAAAACTTAACCATTTTATAAAAATACAAAAGCATACATGTACATGCACACGCTCCAGAAACTTGTTACAAAGTAGACAAAAAGAAAAATCCTTATGCATGTGTGGAACCTCACAGTTAGGGCTCTGGAGGTAGAGGAGGTGAAAGCATGGGACACAGCGGTAACAACCCTGGACAAATTATTCTCCAGTGTGACATCAGACACAGTGTTAGACAGGTTGTAGCCTCTGTACGTCCTGGCAGAGAAAAGAGTTCAGTTCATCTGTGGTAATGTCATGAGCTTTGTTTAAAAGTGAACAACTTGAACTTTAAAGCAATTCTGATCACAGAGAAAGAGGTGACAAACATGCTTCCAAGTAGCAAGCTTCAACAATTTGTACAATAATACAATATATATTTTAGATGCAGCAAAAGAACACTGGATCAATGATTGAGAATTATTTTTTTTTGAAATAATATAACCTTGACAGCCTATCAGATGTGACATCAAATTAGTATGAAAGTGTAAAAACCTTGTGATTGTGCTAACTGTGAACTGGGAGGGGGGCTGTGTCTCATGCATAAGCAGCTGCAGGTAGACTGAACACTGGTCTCGGGCAATAGCCACCACTGGGTCCACCTGGCCCTGGTCACAGTCATAGAACAACCTGGAAACCAGTCTGGTAGAGAGAGGGGCACAGAGACACAAGGAAAAGGTTACAGGAGACATGAGAACTAAAAAAAAATACTGTGTTAATAACTGTACTAAAATTAAAGATATGCTGATCTAGAGTGAAGTCCAATATATACATTACAGGATGTGTGACATAGACAGTCCCAGATATATAGAGTTTATACCTGCTGACTGCAGAGGCAGCCACATGCCGCACTCTTGGATCGTCATCTCCCAACAGAGGGATGACCACATCATTCAGGACTCTGTCCTGCAGCCACAGCCGCTAGACAGACAAATAGCACAAATGAGGGAATACAGTCAGCAACCCAAGTTGAAAACTAGAAAGGATACACCCTGGATATGTGTCTGCAAACATTTCAAGAATTGCATTTTGCACACTAAATAACAGAAGGAAGGTACATAACAGAATGAAAAACTTACCCCTGTGTAGTGATGATCTCCTTTATGCAGAGTCTCAGTTGTCCTCTCTAGAAAATTAACTAACCTAAAACACGGGAATAAGAAATGACAATTTATTTAATGACAGACACTATTCAAGTGTAGCATACACATTCAACTTACCAAAGCAAGTGATTCAAGTAACACATAAAAAGAACTAAATCGATCCTACCGGAAGTCCATCTCAGCCAGGGTCTCCAAGAGCTCAGTGCGAACGAGCCAATAAGAAGAATCCCTCAAAGCCAGCAGGTCTATCACCAACTGCAGGCCAAGTTCACTCATGGTACTGCTGCACATTGTCATGATACAGTGCTGAAACACATGCACAGACAAAAGGTCACACTCACAGAAACACACACGCAGATTATTGACACGTTTGTCCAGATCTCTCTTACCCTGACTGCAGAGCAAGCCATCTTACAGGTAACAGAGGATTCATCTTTCAGAGATTTCTTAAGCAAAGGCACCAAATCCACCAGGGACAGAGGGTTACCTGGAGAGGACCAGGACAGACAGATGGGAAGAGCACAGTTAAATACCATCCAGGCTTTCAATGTGTCCCTACCAAAACAAAGACACACAAAGACACTAACCTGTTGTACTCCGCACACTGGCCAGCCAGGCGTGTACATTGTAACGTGTTTTGGTGAGTGCGGCCTGTATGATGGCTCCACAGAGGATGGCTGTGGCCCCTCTGATCTGGGGGTCCCCATGGTCAATGAGGCCCAGCACATCACTGATATACTGCTGCTCTGCAAAGACACAGACAAAGCAAGCATGATCAAAGATGGTGCTAAAGGCACATAATAAATGCATTTTGTAACTGGCTGATGCTTCCACTGTAGTAACCACCAAGTCTTTTGCAGTACGGAACAACGGCATCAAATCTGTGACATCAGACTTTAAAATGACTGTTTATCACTGCATCATGACAAATAGTGATTTCTCAATTTTACAGTGCCATTCTCATGCCTAAAAGACATGTCACAGTTTAACATCTACAGTGAATTACCAACAGTCCACCCACACATATTTTCACTTACTGGCTGCTTAAACCTCTTCTCAGGACTGTGTGGATGTGCAAAAACTGTGCTTGACTGACATCTTCCTCACTCGTTTAGTTTACAGGAGCATGGAGACCACTGACATCGCCTTGTTTCCTGTATAGCCCTGCCCACCTTACCCAGGGGCCTGTATCAAGAAGCAAGCTCCACTGATTTGAACTGTTAACTAAACAGGACTAAAAACCGTCCAGCGGCTCCAGGTACAGGGAATTAAAGAAGGCTTCAGGATGCAGCGCTGCTGCTGCCCCAACACAGCTGACCGCCAGGGCCTTTACACTCACTCGCACCTCCTTGTCAGGGATCAGACCTGGAGAAACACAGAGCAAAGATATTAGTAGACAACCAAGTGAATACCCTTATGAAGTTCCCATATTTGTAGAGCTTTGATCACAACCACATCTCAGTCAAACCAGTAAATTTGTATTATATTATGTAAATTTAAACAAACCTCAAACATCTCACTCATCTTCATTTGATTCTACTCCTATTTGAATGATTTTCTTTTCCTATTTACAACTTCCCAAAAGGTTGTTTAATATTGTTTCCCGGATATTTAAATTGTCCTTTCGTAAAAATAAATACAAACGAGTCTGAAATTACTGTACTAAACCGATTCAATTTTTACTCAGTCTTATTATCCACAACTTTTAAAAATCTACACTTGATGTATTTTGGGCAGTTACAATCATTGCTCACCATTCTTTTGTGTCGTGAGAGCAGGAAGGAAGCGGCAAGAAGCCTTACACAGGACACCAGTGGCTCCACCCCCTCGTCTGTGTAATGTCCAATTGGACCTTTTATCCGCAATGGCTGAAAAGCAGGCAGACAAGTTAGACAGTCAGGTGCGGAATAGATCTGTCAACCTTCTCTTTCAATGTGAAAAGCTGGTGGG